CCACAGATCCCTCGAGCGTGAATACGGTACAACCAAGTTCTTTGTTAGGGCATAATAAGAGTGACCCTACTCCAGTTCCCAAAAACTTTCTCATTTCCATCTGCGACCTCATCAGCCTGAATTGCACTGTCCGTATCTGTGTCAGTATTTTGGTCACAACCATTTAACCCCTCTCTAAGAAGTTCTAAACTTCCCTCAGCTTCCTGTCTTTTTCTGAGTCCATTAAACTCTTCCAGCCTCTGCCAGTTACCCAGTTCCAAAGTCACTTCCACATTTTCAGGTATCTTTATAGCAATGCTCCAATTCCCAGTACCAATTTTCTGTGTGAGTCTGTTTTGCATTACCATAAATAAATGCCCAAGGATGGGTAACTTACAAAGAAAAAAGGGTTAGTTGGCTTATGGTTCTACAGGGAATACAGAAAGCATGGTGCTGGCATCTGCTGCTGGTGAGGCCTTAGGAGGATTACAACCATAGTGGAAGGTGAAGGAGGAGCCAGCATATGCCATAGCAACAGAGGAAGAAAGAGACAGAAGTGGGGGGTCCCAGAGTCTTTTAAATAACCAGATCTTGTATGCATTAACTGAGAGAAAAGTCACTCACCATCAAAGGGATAGCACCAAGCTACTCATGAGGGATCCACCCCCTGATCCAATACCTCCTACCAGGCCCCACCTCTGACACTGGGGATCACATTTTAGCATGAGACTTGGAGGAGACGGACATCAAATTATATCACCCAACACAAAGTGAATTATTGTCTTAAAATTTTGTTAGTCATTCCCTTACTTTACTTTTCGATTGGACTCCTAGGTCTAAGTGTACGCATAGGCATGTATGCATAGGTATATATGCAGTTTGCATATAGTCAATTTCTTCCTGTTTGGGGACTGTAAGTAAATATAATCATACATATGCATTCTTCCAAGACTTGCTCTTAGGTTCAGCATGATGTTTCTGAGGATTATCCACGCTGGTGCCAAGAGATGTTGATTCATTTTCATTGCTATATAATATCCTATTGCATGAATATACGACAATCTATCATTTCTATTAGTTGGCAGTGATAAGTCATTAACAGAAATGATGGTTCATTTCTGTTAGGATTTCAGGAGTTAGGATTTCAGGAAGGCACAGTTGCCACCAAATTTATCCCTGTTTCATGCACAAACTACTAGAGCAGAGAAGTGAAGCTTTGCCTCAAGTTAGAAACAGGCTTTGGCTGAGGGACATTAAAGGAGGGAAGGGGCCTTAAATGGAAGAGGGAGAAAGGGCTAAAGTGACTCCCCAAGGTTAAAACATAAAAACAAAAAGAAAAAAGGAATCTCCCTGGACAGACAATTTTTGCCTAGTCCAGCCTGTGCTGATTGCTGGCAAATTAAAGCTTTCGCGCTCACTGTCACTTCCCCTCCAGATAAACCCTTGGGGAAAGATTCTATATGAATACTTAATTTACAAAAGCATTCTTCCCCAGACCAGCAGATTGGGTTCCATGAAGGTTCATCACTTTGCTTGATCATGAAGAGAACCGAATTTCATATAGTGCTCATCTATCAGCTTCCCATTGAGGTATTTTTTATATTCACCTTTTTTATTCCATATGGAACTTTGCAGCTAACACACAGTCATCAAATAGTAGTGTCCATGAACCTTTAGTAACCTTTGACTAGCTTCCCTGACTCTGAAATCCCCACCCACAGCTTCACTTGTAAAGAGTGGAAATATTTAGAGGAAGTGAGACTCTCAGCAGCCCAGCCTCACCATGGGAAACATTCTCCCCTCGAAGCAGAGTAGTAAGCTGGTGCCTCCTGTCACACTATCAGGATATGGCTTTAGCAAGTACAACATCCTCTCAGCACCTGTTCCTCGGGCAGGTGCTTTGCATCGCAGAATTGAATCGTTAAGGGGGTAATGCTCTTTGTCACTCCACCGGAGCGGAGAAGTTAAAGTCAAGAGTGTACTTCAGGGATTGTATCACTGGTTTGGCTTTAGTAGTTGTGAGGTCTGGATGGTGAGAGTGATCTCTGGCAAATGACATGTATTGGTTGATACAATGAGGGAGCAAAGGAGTAAGGTGGGTGTATTAGGGTTTTCCAGACACACAGAACCAATAGAATATGTGTGTGTGCTCCATAACAGTGTGAACCAACTGCATGAAATAAACCTCTGTGTGTGTGTGTGTGTGTGTGTGTGTGTGTGTGTGTGTGTGTGTGTGTGTTTATGTTTGATGGAGACTGGCAAGTCCAAAATCAGCAAGGCAGGCTGGCAGGCTGGAGATCAGGGACAAGCTGATGTTGCCACTTGAGTCCGAAGGCACTCTGCTGGCTGAATTCCTTCTTGCTCTGGGGAGTTCGCTCTTTTTTCTGTTAAGGCCTTCAACTGATTGGAGGCTCACCTACGTTATGGAGGGTCATTTGTTTTACTCAAAGCCTACTGATTTAAATGGTACTCTTAGCTTTTAAAAAATACAGCTTCACAGTGACATCCAGAAAAATGTTTGATCAATATCTGAGTACCTTGGCCTAGCCAAGTTGACACATAAAATTAAACACCTTAGAGACTGTATCTCATTTTAGGAAATAACTTAGTAGTTACTAATATTTATTGAGCATCTGTTAAGGGCTCTGTTTGGGTCAGGCACCATATTACGTGCTGGGGATTCAGCAGGAAAGCCAGCCAGACAAAATCCCCATTCTCAAGGAGCTTACATATTGGAGAGTGGGGGTCTGAGTAGTTAAAAACACTTGCCATAGTTTTCATGCCTTCAAGAAGCACTGCAGATACAACTGAAGTCAATCAAATCCAGTCTCCCATATACATATGGTTTTGGGATATAGTGAAAAGAGCAACAGAGATTCTGACTTCTTGGACTTCATCTTCTACTGAGGACCTCAGATCTAAATTGTATGATGACCGACCGTAGACATATTTTAACAGTTATATACAACATGTCATTCATTACATAGCTCTCAAAAGCACATACAGTTCAGTTATAAATGACAATGAAGATTAGCAAATTGCACACAAATGTATTTAAAATAAAGTCACCAGGGCATTTTGTACATAGTTATTTCAATTTCTTCATAAGTTTTTATTTTTTTATTTTTATGGCAAAACAGTTCAAAGAACCACTTAATGAAGGAGTTTGATTTCAAAAGAAATGATTTGGGAAGACAGGACTGCTTGCTGATGCTTGTTTCTTTGTTGGCTTTAAGTAACTCGTTTACTTAATTGACCTCTTTCTTCATTGTGTTTTGGGTTTGTTTGTTTGTTTTTGTCTGAAGCAAAGACAAGCATTAGAAATAAAGACATTTATGTTGTTTAGAACTGAGAATCCATTTTAGAATATGAATTGCAGTATCTATGCTAAACTGCTCTTACATGATTTATGTGGCCATGGACAGAGGAGGGTCGCATTCTTTAATTGATGCCCTGAAAGAATGTCAGTCTTATTTCTCAAAAGAAAAAATACAAATGGCAAGTAGGTATATGAAAAGGTGCTCAACATCATTCTCATTAGAGAAATGCAAGTCAATACTACAATGAGTTATCATTTCACCCCATTAAAAAATGGCTTATATCCAAAAGTCAGGCAATAACAAATTCTGGTGAGGATGTGGAAAAAAGGAAACCCTCATACACTGTTGGTGGGAATGTAAATTAGTACAACCGCTATGGAGAACAGTTTGGAGGTTCCTCAAAAAACTAAAAATAAAGCGGTCATATGATCCAGCAATCCCACTCATATGTACCCAAAAGAAAGGAAATCAATATATTAAAGCGATTGCAGCACTATTCATAACTGCCAAGATTTGGAAGAAACCCAAGTGTCCATCAACAAATAAATGGATAAAGAAAATATGGTACATATATGCCATGGAGTGTATATGAGATTCAGTCATTTGCAACAGTGGGGATGGAACTAGAGGCCATTATGTTCAGTAAAATAAGCCAGGCACAGAAGGACAAACTTCGCACGTTCTCACTTATTTGTGGGAGCTAAAAATTAAAATAATTGAGCTCATAAAGACAGAGTAGAAGGATGGTTATCAGAGGCTGAAAAGGGCATTGCAGGGAGGGGATTGTTGAGGGGGGAAGACAGTTAACGGGTACAAATCATAGAAAGAATGAGTAAGACCTAGTATTTGCTAGCACGACAGGATGACTACAGTTGAAAATAATTTAATTGTACCTTTAAAAATAACTAAAAGATTATAACTGATTGTTTGAAATACAGAGGACAAATGCTTAAGGTGATGGAGACCCCATTTACCCTGATGTGATTATTATGCATTGCATACCTGTATCAAAACATCTCATATAACCCATAAATATATATACCTACTATGCATCCGCTAAAGTTTTTCTTAAAAGAAAGAAAGGATCAGCCTTTAATTAGAATATTGGCATGTCACAGACTAGGGGTAATAATCCAATTGAAATTTTAGGTAAGGGTTGGAGGATACAGGGATGCATAGCGCACATAGATGTATCTCAAAGAGCGGAATTATTCTAAGAAAGCACTATCATGATTTCTCACCTGTTATCTACAGCCTTCAACCCACTACTCTCAAAAATCTTACATTTGAGTTGAAGAAAGAACATATACATTTGTGAAATAAAAATTGCATTTAAAAAGTACCTAAATATGTTACTAAGTGAAAGAGGCCGATATGAAAAAGCTGCACATTGTATGATTCTAACTAGAACATTCTGGAAAATGTAAAATTATGGAGCCAGTAAAAAGATTGGGGGTTACCAGAGGCTTCAGGGAGGGAGGAGCTAAATGGGCTCTTTGATGTTCCCCCAAAAGGCCAAGAAAGTGCCCAACACTGGACATTTGCACTGACAGTCCCTCTGCCTGGAAGGAGCTTCTGGGAGATCCCTGCAAGACTCCCTCCCCTTCGTCATTCAGCTCTAGGCCACAGGTCACCTTACCTGGCAGCCCTCCCTCACATGCCATGCAAAATGGCCACGGGGCCCCCTCTGTCACCTGTTACCTGTCCTCAACACCACCTGATGCAGTGCAGGCTGACGGACTGGCTCACAATCTGTTTCTTCCTCGGAAGCGTTGGCTCCGTGGGTGGGTACTGGACTTGGTTTTGCTCCCTGCTGTGTTCCTGGCACATGGGAGGTACTGGAGGAACATCTGCTGAAGGATTAAGTGGGTGAGCCAGTGAGTGGATCGCCAGGTGAGCATGCAGGAAGGGTGGTACTAGGCAAGGAGAGAGGTGCTCTGTAAGTAGGGAAGCCTGCTTGGAAGTGAAGCTGGGATGGCCCTTGTAGAATGGGAAGGACATAGAAAAGCATGAGGAGGGCCAGGCACGGCGGCTCACACCTGTAATCCCAGCACTTTGGGAGGCTGAGGCGGGCAGATCACGTGGTCAAGAGATTGAGACCATCCTGGCCAACATGATGAAACACCGTCTCTGCTAAAAATATAAAAATTAGCCGGCGTGGTGGCTTGTGCTTGTCGTCCCAGGTACTCGGGAGGCCGAGGCAAGAGAATTGCTTGAACCTGGGAGGCAGAAGTTGCAGTGAGCCGAGATTGCGCCACTGCACTCCAGCCTGGCTACAGAGCAAGACTCCATGTCAAAAAAAAGAAAGAAAGAAAAAGAAAAGCATGAGGCAAGCGAGGGGAAGAAAGGGTGGCTTGAGCAGAGCTGTGTGCACGTAGAGGGTCTGTGAGGGGACTCTTTGGACTGGAATGCAGGTCTTGGGAGGACAGGGGTCCCTCTTGCACACCCCCCGAGTGGAGCAGGCCCGGCAGGCCAGAGCCCACCCACTCCAGCCGTGTGTGCGTGCTGCAGCCAAAGGCAGACTTTTCCTCAGGAAAGCAAATTTGGATCCGCTCCAGCATTTGAATAACAGCCTGATTGAAAAACAGAGCTCTCCTCAACATAGCAGAGCAAAGAATGGTTTTGGTCAGAGCATTTTTCAAAGACAATGTCACTCACTGCTTGCTTCAGCACAGGAAAACTTCAGCAGAGCTGCGTACAGTGTCTTACTCTGAGCAGGCCTGTGATTCGGGGGCTGGCCTTGTGGGTTCCTGCAAGCATCACTTAGCAAAGAGAGATGTGTCTGTTGCATCATTAAACAAAATGTGCCTCAGGGAAAAGACGCTTTGTACCTCACTTCACATCCCTAATGCTATTCCCTGAAAACCCAGTTAGAGAAGCGTTAGCCTCTCCTATGTTATACTTTCTATCTGCTGAGTAATTTCTTTCTTAATTGCACAGAAGAGCTGCTTGGCCCAACACTCCCTGTTTGAGTTCAACCTAGCACAGATTTCTTTCTTTTGAGGCTATGTGAAATGCAGTTGAGCATGATATTGAAAACATGAACACAATCCAAAAGTCCATCAGTAGGGTCCTCATTACCATTTGGCAGTCCACACTTCGGAATACTGTGCTACTGGTGAAAAAGAATAAAGAGGATATACACAAAGATGTGAGCCAAATACAAAGCAGCAAATGCAAAAGAACATACAGTACAAGCCCGTTTTTATCTGTCTCCTTATAGAATAAAAGTCCAGCAAAATATAGAACCCCCAAATATTTTTAAATGTTTTGGGGTTGTCATTATAAAACAGGTTCACTTTCTGCAGTAGACATTGTCTGTCTTTGGATATTTAAAAACGAGCCCATGTTGCTTTGTGATTGAAAACTTGTCCAGATTTTTTAAATCCTGTGTGTACACGTGCACAATCACTCATGCATGCTAGGTTGTGTGGTAGACAGGAGCAATGGTTGGAGAAATGGAGAGTTCCTAATAAAATTTAACAGTAGGGGCTGGGCATGGTGGCTCATGCCTATAATCCCAGTACTTTGGGAGGCCAAGACGGGCAGATCATGAGGTCAGGATCGAGACCATCCTGGCCAATATGGTGAAGCCCCATCTCTACCAAAAATACAAAAATTAGCTGGGCGTGGTGGCATGTGCCTTTATTCCCAGCTACTTGGGACCTGAGGCAGGTGAATCACTTGAACCCAGGAGACAGAGAGTGTAGTGAGCAGAGATCATGCCACTGCACTCCAGGCTGGTGACAGAGACTCCATCTCAAAAACAGAAATTAACAGCAGGAATGTGTTTTTACGACTATCTTACTTAAAAATAATAATTCTTCCCCCTCATCAGGATTATCTTTTGATCATTTTTGTTTTGACTTGTTTTCTTGTTTTGTTAATTTGTTAATAAATAATTGACAAAAATAAACAGCAAAGCCAGAAAAAAAAAGTTCTAAGCAATGTAAGAAGCACTAATGCGTATACTCTCTAAGGAGATTCTTTCTCTGCAGCATGGGAACAGTCCTAAAGCAACTATCAAACAACACAAGTTGGGAAAATGATCATCAGGGTTCAGGAAATGAGCAGATTCAAGAAGGCTGAAGTGCTTACAAGCCAACTGCCTGAGCTTAAATCCCACCTCTGCCACCCACCTGCCATGTACTATTGAGCAAGTTACTTTACTTTTCTGTTTCTCAGAATAAGAGCCCCACCTCACTCGTGGTTTTGAAGGTTTTATGAGTCAATGGATGATTTTTGAGTGTTACAAAAGTCAATACACACACAGCACCTAAAGTGGTATCTGACGCATTAAGTGCTAATACACATTAGCTAGTGAAAGGAAGAGGAGGAGAGGGAATGAGATTTCATAAAAGAGAAGGGGTCTAAAGAATGAGTAGGGTTCATCAGAGGCAAAGAATTCCAGAAGAGAAAAGCAAGAAAAAAATAAAACACAAAGGCTTATAGCATACATGAAATGATCCAGTTAAATTCAGCCCAACCACTGCAAAGAAAGCCAAAATGACATCTCATGACTAGATAGATGATAAACAAGAGCAGATAGGTACAGGCACTCAAATGAGATGGAGGATTTTCTAAAGCTAACTTTCCTTTATTATTCTGTAGACCCATCTGTGTGTCAGTCATCAGTCAACAAATTTGTATGCAGTGCACACATACGTGTGCCAGGAACTGGCTGGGAACAAAGATCCACACTGGTGGCAGCGCCCCCACCAGCATGGGACTTTTTGCAAGTGGGTTTAAAGTTGGGAAAGCATGGGGATCATTCGTTTTATTGTGTGTTGATTAGTAGCGCATCAAGAGATGTGGTGGTGTGCCTCATTCAGGAATAGAAGAAAGATGCATTTACTCTTAAAATACAAACAACTGATTTTTCTGTGCTAATGAAGAACCGCAGGAATAAATATAGTTGATAGGTTAAATTATGCTTCTTTTATTTTATCTGTAAATTAAGCAAATCTTCGTTGTTTTGCCATTTTGAACCTTTTCTCCACCTGTTTGGGTTTCTGGTTACCCCTGCCCCAGCCTGGTGTCTTCTTCCCAACTTGCAAATACCCATCAGGGCCCAAGAGCGAGGGAAGAAGCCACTGAGGGCCAGGCTGTGCACAGTAGATTCCAAGCAGGCCCTCGGCAATTGAGTTGCTTGACCTTGGCAAACACAGGACCAGCCTCACCCACGAAAACACATGTGACTAGGTCCCTGAGACTGACACTTACAAGGAGGCCAGAATTTCATAACTCTGCAGGACTTACTTGCAAAGGGTGCTGTGTAGAAGGTGCCAAAATGGCTCGTAGCTAGGTTTAAGAAATTACAGTCCCTAGTTGGTTCAAAGGGATGCTATTCACTCCTGGAATAGTGGGGACTTTGGTCTCCAGGGAAGAGTTAAACATCAGACAGGATCCACTACAAAAATTTCCACTGAAAAATAAGTTCCTTGTAAGAGAAGTTGAGAGACGTGCTAATTGCAGGTTACTGTAAACCTAATGGCAGTCTGTTTCACTTGCAAAGAAAGCGCAGGACGTGTGAATGATGGTGAGGGGAGTGGGGACTCTTGGCTGGTAGATCTGACTGGTAGACGCAGTCGGTCCTCTAACGATCCATTTTGGAGTGGACTGCATTGGGAGGTTGGCCAAATTTCCTTTCTTCAGGATTCTTACCAACAGTAAAGATTGATAAAACACATTTGTGCTGCTGTGTTTTTCAAAAGTTCGGCCATATAATAACTTTAACAGACTGCCTAAATTTCAAACATTTCCTTGATGTAGGATGATCACAATAGAAAGGAATGTTATTCTTATCCAACCATCGGTAAGGTTTTGTCTTCCTTTCCCAGAAACTAAATCACTGACTACCTCAGAGGCTCTGACCTAAATCTTAATTGGTGCCCACTGCCGTTTTAGACCGCTGTGTGGGATTTTAACCAGACAAACCCAAGAGGAAGGATTAAAGTTGCTACAATGAAGAAAGGCTAATATTTCAACCAATCATAGAATCCATTGCAATGCCCTTTCCATTTTTAAATGAGCTTTATAAGGCTCTCCTCTCAAGGTAAGCCTCCTTTCTTATGTCCTGTACAGCAAAAAATAGTCTAGGTTTTCTTTTTAATGTTTGATTTGCCTCTTCAATCTTGGTGCTAGGTAACATCATTGGATCAAAATATTAACAGCCAAGATTTAGATATTATTTTACAATTAGCTGAGCACTTTGACTCATATCATCTTATTTCACTTTCACTGTGGTCCTGGGGCGTGTTTATTCTGTCTCCCACTCTGCAGATAGTGAAACTGAGGAGACTGTGGCGGGAAAGATGAGGCAACTCACGTGAAGTTGGGCAACTGGTCTGATGACACAGCTCGGGCTGAAACCTGGGTCTCCTAGGTCATTTGCTTAGAGCTCATTCGATGACGAGGCGACTCCTTGCTGTGCATTCTTGCAGCATACGCCTTTGGTGTGAAGACACTGGTTTCCATCAGACTAAACGCATCTTACTTCAAGACAGGCAGTTCCTGTTTTGGTTTCCACCTCTCACACATTGCTTTTAAAGTGCTAACTCTTAATGGCTATCCCAAGAGAAAATCTACTGCAAGTATGAAGTGACCCTTTGGTACAACCAGTTTTTCATCCCAAATCCCTTTTTTCTTTATTTATTTCCTTCCTTTCTTCCTTCCTTCCTTCCTTTTCTTTCTTTCTTTCTTTTTTCTTTCTTTCTCTTTCTTTCTTTCTTTCTTTCTTTCTTTCTTTCTTTCTTTCTTTCTTTCTTTCTTTCTTTCTTTCTCTTTCTTTCTTTCTCTTTCTGTCTTCTTTCTTTCTCTCTCTCTTTCTTTGTTCCTCCCTTCCCCCTTCCTCCCTTCCCCCTTCCTCCCTCCCTCTCTCCCTCCCTCTCTCCCTCCCTCCCTCCCTCCCTCTCTCCCTCCTTCCCTCCCTCCCTCTCTCTTTCTTTCTTTTTTTTCTTTTCTTTCACAGTGTCTCTGGCTCTGTCCCCCAGGCTGGAGTAAAGTAGCACAATCTCAGCTCATAGCAGCCTCTGCCTCCTGGGCTCAAGCGATTCTCCAGCCTCAGCCTCCCAAGTAGTTGGGTTTACAGGCGCATGCCACCATACTCACCTAATTTTTGTGTTTTTAATAGAGACAGGGTTTCACCGTGTTGGCCAGGCTGGTCTCGAATTCCTGGGCTCAAAGCGATCCGCCCGCCTAGCCCTCCCAAAGCGCTGGGATTACAGGCATGAGCCATTCATTGCACCCGGCCCCATTTTTTTCTTTCTTCTTTTTCTTGGCATTTGTTATGATCAAGCTTTTGTTTTTAAGTACCGAATATCCTTGGACTCCTTCCAGTTTTACGTCAAAATGTGCTTTCAGGGAAGGATTTGGTCTCATTGATTTCAATTAATGTAACTCCAAGCCACTACTCTTCTGCTATTTACATTTTAATCTACATTTCTTACTATAAATAAGACGCTTTGCTTCTCTACTGAAGAGGAATTTCAAGGAGTGTAGGGTGAAGATGAGGTTTATAAATCAATGATATCTTTCTTTAGTCCCTTCTCCCAAATTCTACACATAGACGTGCTGTGCCTTGGCCAACTTATCTCTAACTAGGACATTCAGATCTACCAACTAAGCTATGACTTATTATAGGCAGGCGGTCAGCAGGAAGAGCTGTTTTTCTTTGAAAGCAGGACAAGAATAGGTCTATGGAATGCTGGGGTCACTTGGTTTACTCAATGGAAAGAAACGGGATGTTTCTGCATTAACTAGAACATTTGAAAGGTAGGGAGGGGTGAGGGTGGTTGAGAAATAATGATTTCAACAAACAGAACATTAAGTACTCTGTTGTCAGACAGCGTGTCCCCATCTGGGGGGTGAGTGGCAGAAAATATAGTCACCATCACGAGAAGGGCTCCCCCAAATCTGCCCACCCACCTCCTACTCCTGCTCTAGTAAGTTTTTCTGAATGCCCAGCCAGCGACACTGACCGTCA